CAGTAGAAATCGTTTGCAAGAACTTCTGCAACCTTTTTCAAGCTCCTGTAAAGGGTTCTCACATTGGGTCTTTGGAGTCTTCAGACATCTTGGATGGCATCTTGACCGCTTGCTGTTGATGGAATTGAAGCCCACTGACAACAGACAGTCACTGGTTATGACATTTGTTCCGTGTTGCTCTTCACCACAGTGTTCTTCCCACCCTTGGGGTGGGTCTTTTAGCCACTTGCCTAGAACCCCATTGCAGTGATTGTTTCTGGGGATGTCCTGCGTGGCTTGTGTGGCAGCATGGCCAAGGCTTGTCTCCTTTCCCAACTCATGTCTTGGTTCTTCTCTACCATGCGGCAGATACTGGCGAGATTGTGGTGCCGAGCAGGGCAGAACACCAGCTGATTTGTACAGTGCGCAGGGGACTCTGCTTTTTGGGGGACACAGGCCACCAACTCTAGAGCAGCCAGAAGAGATTTTGTTATACGTTAATTGCAAGAGCAGGTCACCAATGGCTATATTCAGCCTCCCTCATTTACATGAGCGGCATCACTGGGGTTGAATGAGACATGAGGAAGGTGGAGACAATTCCTTGGTAAGTACGATACTCTTCTGTATGAGGAAGACTGTCTAAATCTGAGCCCATAATGAAAGTATTCGGAATAACCTTATTGCATATTAAGATGAAACACTGTATTTAATTCTGCGATTATTTTGAACTGAAGCAGTGCTTTGAAAGAGAAAACAGGTGAGAAATATCAATGGCGGGTGCTAAAGTCATTGTTTTGATCGTCCTGTTGGATTCAGAATGAATTCTGCAGTTCCCACCGGCAAGAAGAAGATTCGCATCAGGACCAGCATTCATGGAAGTCATGGGAAAGATTCACATCATGCCTAATTGAAGGCAATGCAAGGCAAGAGCTTGTAATTAGTTGTTCTTTGTAAGCTACATACTACTGTAACAGCAGATATTTACAGAGTAGAGACAGAAGGTCTGGGAGCATTTGGCACATAGGACAGCCAGGGATAGCTCATCTTGAGAACTGCTCCCTACCACTTCTGGAGGATGTAAGTACATGGATCTTATACCCAGTTGAGTGAATGCTCCTGGATGGGCTTGTGTGGGATCGGAGGCCTGTTTCTCTATTCTCCCCAATTTTTATGTGCTCTGGGAGGCATAAGATGATCTCTGGAAGTCTTTGTGGGATTTTCTTCAGATCTTTCTGGAAGTGGTGATATACCACAGGGTTGCCCTGGTTCCACTGGACTGTTGATTTAGCAGTGCTCTGGAGGGCAGAGGCATCTGTAGGTTGTTTTATTGTGACAACAGCTGTCTAATGTCTTGAGATAGTTCTCTAATACCTAATATGTCTAATATGTCATTGCAGGGGTTTGCATGAAAACCCCTTTGGATCTCTGAAACAACTTCAAGTTAACAACTCCTGGTAGAACATTTACGTTTCAGAAGAGGCCAAAGGAGATGAGTTTTACAGGATCTAGCAGATTTCTTGTAAGTTGTGAGTGCTTTTGAAATGACAGCAGACTATTAGCAGCCTTATCAGGAAAGGTTTTGACATCAGTTGCATTAAAAGGACATTGTGAAATAGGTTCCTGGGATGGTTTATAGCCTTTATGATTTTCCTAATCCTGCTCCTTTGAAGATAAAATCGGGGTCTGATTTCTACCTCAGAGTGAAAAAACCCATCTCCTTTCACCTGGCAATCCTTTATTGATTTTCTTCTCTTGTTACTAATAGTGCTTGAAAATAACTTGAAGTTTGTGTCTGTTGCTTTATGCCTGTGCTTGCACTGTGTCTGGTGTTTTGATATTTCTGAAAATAAACTTTGCTGCCTGTTCACACACCATCTGTTGGCTTTTGGGAAAGGTATTAGGTATGACTTGCTAGCTAGTCAATGGGTCTCCTTACATTGGCCTATGATCCCTCACTAAAGCCTACTGGCCTTGTTATTTCTGCGTCCCCGAAATAATAGCGTAACAGGACAGATCCTTGAGTAAGTGCCACGTTGCATGGACAAGCGTGTGTACATAACCTAACACAGGAATAATATTTATGGGACCTGCATTAACCATGGCTATTTTTAAAACATTTATTTTTGTTGGAATCAAAACTAAACCCAGATGGAGTGCAGAGGCCTTTCTGAGTGGATTGTGACCACCTTCCCTCCCTTGCAGCTCCCAGATGTCAAGCTTTGGTCATAGTCAGCTTGAAAAATTTGAAACTTTACTGCCTCACAAACTTGAAGTGCTCGCAATAGTAAGTGCAAATAAAAACTCTGATTAGTCTTAACGTGGTTTTTTAGGCATATATATGTTTTTCTATCGGCTTTTGCTGCTGTGCAATGATTTGTGTAGGATGCTACAGTTTAATACATCAGGACAGCAACATTTTACCTTCTATGTCACCATTATGATTCTTCAGTTGATTTTTCTCAAACCACTGTGGTTATGTTAACACTACCAACTTTCTATTTGAATTTTGAATTTATACACCTATCCTATGCCATCCCATTAGTATTAATAGACACCCCTGGTACGCGGTGGCACACAAAAGTATCATCTGATTATTTGTGGTTTTCTCCGATGCATGCCGGGAATGCTATATTGTACTTTTCCAGTGTGCTCATTATTTTCTGATAAGCTCAGCTGTCAGTCTGAATTTCTATTTATTTCCTCTGTATTTTGTGAAGCTCCAAGAATATTTGGCAGCTCCAACCTGAGTGTTTGCATTTGGCTTCAGCTAAAACAGATTTCACTTACTTTAACCAGAGACTTGTATATAGGCTAGCGCTCTAGAGCAACCTACGTAAGCTAAAACAAAGTAATCATCCTATTTTATTTTCACTGAACAAAATGGCAGAATAGTGAAGCTCTAATTTCTCTGAAGTGTGTTGTAAGCTTTTTTTTTTTTTTTTCGGCTTCAGTGGCCTTCCAGTCATGATGTAAGCCAACAAACATTACCTAATTTTTTATTTATTTAATCCACCCCTAGTTTTCCTCATACCCGCCTAATATCTTTTTACACATTATATTTCAGCTGATTGCTAGTGTCCCGGCTGATTGTCACTGCTCTGCCCGGGGACAACAGACAACACAGCCTCTGTGACATGACATAAGCTCCTTCACTGGCTTCAACATCACTCTCCCACTGAGCTGTGCCTTATCAGCCAGTCCATTCAAAGCAAATGACTGGGACATAATAAAAGCAAACAGAAAATATACAGAAAGAATGGCAGCCGTGAGGAAATATCTCCTTTGTCTATCTTTGATTTAGCACAATTTTTTTTCTCATTCGTGCTTGTGTGCAGCAGGAAAGAGATGGTGGGTGAAAGCCATCTGAGCATTTCCCTTGATTTGATTGCTTTCATTTGAGAAAACTGTTGATTTCTACCCAGACATGATTTGGGGATGTCAGAGTTGGTTTCTGTAGGTGTCCATGGTAAATTGAATTTGTGGTAAAGGAGGGGCTTGGATCCGTAAGTCTTGATGACCACGGGGTCGGGCACTGCATCATGCCCGATCCCTTCTCTGCTCCAAGGGCGCTGTCCCTGTGGTTCCTGCTCAAGTTGCTGATTGCTCCGAGTAACACCGGGTCTATAATTCACCGGTAATCACAAGGGGTTTTCTGGTTGCACGTCTGTACTCAGCCACACCACCGTGCTTCTGAGGAAGGGTGAGTAGGGTGCGGTGGGGGGGCTGAGCAGGACAGGTGCCCTTGGGCTGGGAGGGTGAACTGCAGCCTCTTGCTTAGTCCTGGCACTTCTGCGAATGCTGATGACAGCCACCACCTTTGCAAGGAGTTACATCAGAGGTTTTGAAATCTGCATCTGCTTGGGGAATGAAATCCATATTAAGGCAGTCTCATGGCATTGCCAGGGTACCCGAAGACACAACTAGCAAGGCGCCCTTCATCTCCGAGAGTCTGTGTTGCTGTGATGTGCAAAAGTACAGGTTCCTATGAGAGGCTTTAGTGAAAAGGCACGCTTTTTTCAACAACCAAGAGACCTAACAGGCAGCTTCTCTTCCCTTGAAGTCTGGACTTCGCATCCCTGTGCTGTCAGCTGCAGCCCATCGTCTGCGACTCATGAGAATTCTCTCCTGAGGACTGCAGCCGCGCTGCAACTTCAACAGCACACACGGTAATGGAGAGGGAGAAATGGGAGCAAAGAAAGGTGTAATGAATGAGAGGAGAGAGACTAAAAAAAAATCAATGTTTACAACTCCACTTTGATAAGATTTTTTTACACAAGATACTCCGTTAAACAACAACAAAAAAATCTTAAGGCAATTAGATCACCTTAAAGCACTTGACGTGAGTATGACCTTTGGCTTTTGCTGTTTTTGTCTGCTGGGTGAGATGCAGAAATCCAGCTGATCCATAAGGTAAATTTTCTGTTGCCATGGCAACATGTCTTGTTCATGTTCTCAGTTTGGAAGGGAGATTGTTCCACATTGCTATCTCATGTCTAGGGCAATGTTCTTTGGTGGCAGAATTTCTTTGTTTCAGTACATTAATGCTACAATTCTGTTCTTCCTTTCCCAGCTTATGGAAACATGGCTCAGCCTGAACATTCACCTGTAAAAATACAGCTATTTGCATTTTTTTTGGTAATAAGAACATTCCTTAAGTCTGGAGGTAAATGTTGATCTATTTCGATAGCTTGGGTGCAGCAACATCCTGATGCTGTGAAGTTTCATCATTAAGTGAAAACAAGATGGAATCACTCCACATTTGCTTCCACGTGGTTTGAACAAACTAAAGAATATCCTGAAGTAGCGAGTCTTATGAAAGAAAAGAAATTTAAAGTAGATCCTGCCTATAGTGTATATCTTACATATTAGATTTCTACAGCTCTCCATGTGCTTTCAGTCAATTCAGATTCAATGCCTACGTACTGCAAATTCCTAATTTTGATCAATTCTTGCTTAAGGCCACAATGCAGTTTCTCTTGTTTCTTTTACCACCTTTAGTTCTCTGTTTTTCCACGTAGCACCTTCACCTTGTTCCTAAGGTCAGGAGTCAAGCAGGAGCAGGCGTCCTGGTTTCTGTTGGCTCAGCGCAGTCAGCAGCAGCAGGAGTGGCTGCACACAGCTCTGGAGGGTTAGGAAAGCACAGAGACATGGGTTGGCCTAGTGTGATACAGCTTGGAGGTTTCACAGAACAGAGGGCTCCTAGTTTTGGGTAAGAAGGACCCCTTTCTGGTCATGTTCCCCATTTCAGTTGCGTGTGACCTTCATTGCCTTTCTAACCTGCTTGGTTTCATTGAACTCATCTAGTTTTTCTTTCCAAGTGACTTCACACAAGGGTGCAGCACCTGTGGCACTTTGCACAACGCTTCTTCTTCTTCTTGGGGTGGAAAATGGTCAGGATTGCTTCATCAAAGACAGTCTTAAGGCCTTTCTGTGTGAGGGCTGAGCACTCCAGGTAGCACTGTGCCCCGATCTGAAAGAGAGGAAAGAAAAGGTGAGTACCCACTGGTAGGAGACACAGAGTGACCCTGTTCCAGCATCATTCTGTGTGCATATGTGTCCTGCCATAGAGAGAAGTACAGACCTTTAGAAAAGGGGTCAGGTCTTTGCTCTGTTTTCTATCTGGCTGCCTACGGACTTAAGGGATAAGTTCAGGTGGTCATCCTGAGTGAGGGAGCAGAGACGAATGTCGACATCAGTATCTCCCCACAACGGGTTAACTGGGAGCAGCAATTCCCTGCATGACCCTCCAGAGAGAGAGGAGGGCTGTACCTGTGTTCGACTGCTGGACCAGGAGCTTGTCCTCCTGTCTGTACACGTGGTGGGGGGGGTTCAAGGAGGTTCTGGGTCATTAGCTGAGCCCCTTCAGATACTTGGCTCTTTCCCCTGACCTGTCACACCTGTGTCCTGCCTCCTGCAATGCCAGGGAGCTGCTGCCTGAGGAAGAGCTTTCAGCTGGCTTCCGGGAACTGAGAAGTATCATCGTGAGATGGGAGCCTCCTGGTGGTGCTGGCACACACACACGAACACACACAGTGGGTTGGAAAAGCAGCCTCAGTTTATTCAGCAACCTTGTCACTTAATCAGCCTATTTAGCTAATCATAGAAACATAGAATCATTCAGGTTGGAAAAAAACCTTTAAAATCATTGAGTCCCAACATTAACATAACAATGCCAGGATAGATCATGTCACTAAGCACCATATCTACACATCTTCTAAATGGCTCCAGGGATGGGGACTCCACTACTTCCCTGGGGAGCCTGTTCCAGTGCTTGATAATCCTTTCTGTGAATAAACTTTTCCTAACAACCCATCTAAACCTCCCTTGAAGCAACTTGAGGCCATTTACTCCTAGCCCTATCTCTTGTTACCTGGGAGAAGAAACCGACCCCCACCTCTCTACAACCTCCTTTCAGGTAGCTGTAGAGGATGATAAGGTCTCCTCTCAGCCTCCTTTTCTCTAGGGTAAACAACTCCAGTTCCTTCAGCTGCTTCTTGTAAGACTTGTTCTACAGACCCTTCACCAGCTTTGTTGCCCTTCCTTGGATGCACTCCAGCACCTCAATGTCTTTCTTGTAGTGAGTGGCCCAAAGCTGAACACAGGATTCAAGGTGTAGCCTCACCAGTGCCAAGTATCGGGGCACAGTCACAGCCCTGGTCCTGCTGGCCACGCTATTTCTGATACAAGCCATGTAGTAATGGGTGTTCTCACTGGCCCTGGAGGACGGCAGCCTGTAGCAACACCTGCAGCATGTAAGATGGAAACGGCTGGGGTCCAGAAGTCTGCACTTCAGGGCTTGGGGAGGGGTTTTATCCCCCTGCCTTCCCAAGAGAAAGGTGCAATAGCAAAGAAACCTTGGGAGCTCTTTCTTTGCTGCTTGAATTGCAATGGGTAAGTGAGAATCAAGTTTTCTGTACTTTTCTAAGGCATAGGATGAATTTGGAAGGAGGTGGCTGCAGAGTGATGTTTGCCACATGCATCTCCCGGAAGAAGCCTCAACAAGAAACACCTGACTCAAGTAAAGCAGTCAGTAAAATCTGTTTTAGTGCCCATTTGCCATGGGCTGCCCTGTGTGCTTTGCTGCTTTCCTTAGAGCTCAGTTGTGGATCGCAGCAGAAGAGCAGATTCAGGAGCCACAGCCTGCGTCTAGATCAAGCCTGTTTGAATTACAGTATTTAATTTCTGGCTGGGACCAACCAATGCACCATGGAGGAGTTCAACTCAAATGAAATAAACCCAATGGAAAGCCACGATCAATCAATTTCTTGGAACCTCAGAAAAAGCAATTACCTCCTTTGCCAGCTTCACGCCATGCTCGTAGGTGAGTGGTTTCTCCTTCATGTAAAGCAGTCGAGCCAAAGTTTTGGGGTCATCCCGGAGATCAATCTGAGAAAATACACAAACCCTGCGCTCAGTAACACCTTGCTAGGATTCTTGAGACAGATATTCGTAGCTTTACAAACCAACAGTCATGTCCTTGCATGAGGGCTTCTGCCCTCCTGGCATCAGATGATACTTCAGAAATGAATTACATGTGCATTTTCCTTTCAACTTTTTCTTATTTAAAAAAAAAAATAATCTTTTTTTTTTCTATTTAATATGAATTGGTTCTAATTGACATTTTATTGGGCCACTGCTCAGATAGCTGCAGTACATAATGACACGATTCTCAGTAGCTCTCACAATGTGTCTTGGAAAGTGTTGGTGGAAGCCTGAGCTACACTGGAAGGGGAGGCTGCTGCAACCCTGCACTGCATCACCTGAAGAACACCCTGACAGCCCAGTCAGATGTAGTTCAGTCTGACTAGATCAAAACTAAATCTTTTATTTCTGTGTAAAACATCAAAGTGAAGCATTCTGACATTCCAAACCCATCAATTTTTGGAGTATGTGATCCAAAGAGTAATACTTCTATTTTAAAATGGGTTTTTTAGATTATTCCAGTGTGGAAAATACAGTGTTTGAATGGTTGGACTTTCCTATAGCATGAAGATTTTGGTTTTGACCAGAAACCAGATTCTGGTTTCTCTTACTTGGTTTAGATTACTCTCCAGTGTTCGGACATCTTCCAGATTCGTATCCCTAATTCTCATAGTCTTTAATGGCTCTGTGTCTTGGAAGCAAACCCATATTTAAGGCATTTTAATTTGATTGATAGATTTACAGATTTTAAGGCCAAAATAAAGTGGTTTGATCGTTTACTGTAACATTTACTATAACACAAGCAGGATGGTGAGTCACTAATTGCAATGTTGATGTAAAGCATGAGGGAGGCTATTTCCTTCCCGTGTCTCTAAGTAAGTAATTGTCTTAATTATTTCCATTCTTAAAAATTAGTTTGAAGTTTAGCTTCTGCTTCTAATGGCAGACTTAGATGGGATTATTTCCTCTTGCTAAAGGCCTGTCAGAAATCTCTTCTCCCTGTATGTATTTATGCCTTGTTGCCACATTAATATATATTTGATTAAAAAGATGAGTTTTACTGTTCATGACTAGCACGATGAGGTGTCTGCATGTTGGTTTCCATTCCCAGTCCCTGAGTTTTCCTCTAATGGAAAGTCTGGCTGCATTTCACATAGGTTGAATAGGAAACCTTTCCAGAGAGCTCACCTCCAGCCACTCTTGGGGTGGAGTAGCAGAGGCTCTGAAGCCCCCCGTGACGGCAGGCAGTTTTCCGGGAAGTGTTACCTGTGTTCCTATGAGGACGTAAGGCACGTTGGGCATGCAGACTTTCAGTTCAGGCACCCACTCCTCCTGGACATTGTGGTACGAGGCAGGGTTCACCACCGAGAAGCAAATCAAGAACACGTCCGTGTTGGGGTAGGACAGGGGTCTCAGCTGGTTGTAGTCCTCCTGCCGGGGGAAAACGCGTGTTATGGGGTGGGGACATCACATGGGCTCAACACTGTCCCTCCATGTTCCTGTACACTTGGAACCTCCAGAGAGCTGCTGAAAGGGAAATCACCCCTCAGGGGTCCTGTTTCATCAGCATCTTTACCCAAAAGAGCTAACATATTTTGTGTGTGTGTATTATCCCTGGTGATGCTGTCACTGGCGGAACAATAAAAACTGATCTTGAGGCTGCATATAGTGGCCTCAGCCCTCTGGCAATGTGGCATCCTGGGGATATTATTTGACCATCACAGCTAGCTAGTATTTGCTGATGACACAGACCTCTAGGAGCTTTTCTGTTAATATTATGCACTTTCTATTCTCCAGTAGGTATTAGGGACATGACCATATACAACAAATATGGGTCTCTGGGTTATTTGGTGCCATTGCAGTTGGGTATGATAAGTGTCAAGATGTCTGTCAGCAGAAGACACTTGCTTTGAAAGCATGAAGCAGATCAAATCCAGCCTGCAGTGGCTGGCTAAATCACTGAGGGTGATTTAGTGTTTCCACAAGCCCTGAACTGGGGAAGCAGAGATATTTTCTCTATGGGCTAGTTGTGAAGAGGGTGAATGGAAATGACACCCAGCTCCCACAAGTGAGTTAATAGCGGCAAAGTGGTTGCCAAGACGATGGAATCAATGAAGCAATTGCATTATAGAGACAGACAAGTTTTATCTGGATGCAGTGGGTTATGAGGATCTGGCCTGATTACAGGACATTAATCTAGAACGTAAAAACTGATACCGAATGTTTGCACCTCCATTAAACTGGGCTGCCACCAGATGCTTGGCAAAGGACTTTTTCTACGTTTTCGATTTAACTGATGCCAATCAGCTTCCTAAAACAGCCACGAGGTGGCAGCAAGGCCTTGAGGAGCCACGATTAAGGCTTTTTGGAAAGAAATTGGCTAAATATAACTAGTTTCAATATTCCAGACGTGCACATTTAGAGGGGCTGGAACTTACTGTACCATTAAACTTACAAACTAAAATCCATGAGTGCTCTGTCTGCCAGTGACAGCTACAGGGTTGTGCATTTCATTTTATTTCACTTGTTCCTTTGACGCCCCAAGAAAATCTTTTCTCAGGAGGAGCGTTCCCGATTTCCATTAGCAGTATTATATAAACCGTAAGCAGGGACAGCCACGCATCACACAGCAGAGGTCTCATCTCCTATCACGGCACGCGGGACCTTGCATGGATTTGCACAAGCACAAATGCTGTGGGTAAGAGTTGATGGGGGCTCCTGCATGTGCTTTTATCTGTGGGTTGCCAGGAGCCTCCAGACCACAGCAGACAAGGACCCTGCCTCTTTTTGTACCTACTGTCCAGGAGAAGGCTGTAAAACTTTGCAGTGGACTCTTATGAGATATGGCACATTAGGATAATTTCTCATTGAGAGTTGTTTGAAGTCAAACAAATAAGTAGCGTAAAAAAGGTGCCTGGACATTTGCATGCATTTGAGGCATATCCAGAGGTGCTGCAGCTGGTGACAGCAGCGTTTGCGAAGGGATATGAGTCCTCATGGGCTTGAGCTGTAGCTGATCACTGTTTTGTTTCCCTGGCTCGTGTTTGCGTTTTGATGCCTGTTATCTGGAGACCACAAGGCTTCCCAGTTACACTACATGGCCACTGGTTTGGCATGGAAATGGCAGTGCCAGCCTTGCCCTGGCTGAGTTACCTGCCTGTGACTTGCCAGGGTCGGGATACATCAGCTGGTGTTGCTCCCTGTTGCTGTTATCAGCCATGCAGTGTTTGGCTCCAGGAAGTACAGTAAACCTTGCATTTTTTTATGTTGTTGCCTGCTGATCTCCCTGTCACATCAGCCCATTAAAGGTCTCCTCACCTGAGTCCAGCCTGGAGGAAAAAGACCACTGTTTTTTGCCTGCTAGGCCGTTTGTGCCAGAGATGCAGAAAACCAGATACCCCAGATCTGGGGTCTCTGCCAGCTCTCTCTTCAGGCTGACAGAGGGTCCTGCTGCAGGAGTACTTTTTCCAATTGTTATTTCATTAGCATATGGTTTATAGCATCGTAATGTCAAGTGCTATTTTTGGCTATGACTTCACACTGATGCCTTTGGAAAGCCACACAACGCAAGGAGAAGGAGGGAGGAAGCAACCCAGATGATCTGTCCTTATAGCTCAAGCATGTGGGAAGCATCATCCTTCCAGCCTCCACAGAGATACAATATAGTCATCAAGAAGTGATTCATGCTCTGAGTTTTGACTAGAAGGCCACGTCCTCTGGACTGAGGTCTGAGAGGGAAATGAGCTTGATGAGCTAGAAACTATGCTCGGAGGCAGGTGGTGCTCTGGCTGCATTGAAGCAGGGATGGCAAAATGACTGTGGAGGGGTGAAGTTTATCAAAGAGGCAGGCCAGGGTTTCTTCTGGCTCTGGAGGACAAATAAGAGGATGTGTTGCTGAGGAAATGGGTGGCAGGTGGAACTGTCAGCCCTACAAAACAAGTAGAAATATTAAGGCACAGGGAAATCTGACTGAGAACTGAATATAACTCCAGTCTCGTTTGCAGTGCTGCCAGATTGTGGCAGATACGCTTCAAGCCCCACGTTTGTAAGCACTGGACATGCCACAAAGACTTGGGTCATATTTTGGGACTGGCTTTTGGATCATCTGTTTGCACCACGTGCAATATAAGTGGCACCTAGCTAGCTATGAAGTGACTTGCTGCCTACATACTTACATGCGATAGGAGTAGAATGAAAAAAAGTGAAACCTGAAGCATAAAAGCCTCAGTCTTGCTGAATGCAAGTTTTTCTGGAAGTGACAGACTGTCCTGATGCATTTTTTGACCTCTCTGCACACTGCTGCAAAGTATATTCTGTAATAACGGGCCTTCTGTGATTCTGTGATTCTGCAAACAGGAGGGTCTCCTTCTGCATTGTTTAGGTCTCTCATAGCAGTCAGCCATGGCCAAAAAAAGCACATCCAAGAAGTGCTCCTGTAAGCAAAGCCCTGCTATCTAGGGCTGCCAGGTCTCAGAGAGTGAAGCAGGATCCCAAATTTGCCTTCCTCTCCTGCAGTGCCAGCTCTGGTTGGGCGAGCTGGTGGATGTGGGTCCCAGCCTTCCCAGGCTGGGAGGCACATGGGACCTGCTCCCTCGTCTCTCTCCAGGTGACTCTTCTTCAAGGTTTCTGGGGATATTGTGGTCCTTTCTTTATTCTTCCAGTTGCTGACATTTGGAGGTAGGAGAGGGAAATATCTCCATGAAAATGTGTTGTTCCCTGTACCCTCTTCTGCCCTTCTCTGGACAGAGAAAGCAATGAGAAATGCTTTCTCCTCCTCTCTGGGGGGTGAAATCAGCCCACAGACCACAGCTCTTCTGCAAACTTTTATTGAGAGCATGCTGTATCAGACTGTGAGAAGTGGAAACAGTGAAAGCATTATATGTGTAAAGAAAGGATGTGGTACGGACTCTCCTGTAATGGACACCTTTGTCCTGGGAAAAGGGTTTTGGGTTGGATGCCAATCTGAATGGGTTATCATTTAAAAAGTCAATAACAGCTGGTGACCGATAGGCTGCTGCTGTATTATGTTGGTTTTCTGATCTTGGAAATTGGAATTCTTCTCTGTACCTTCAATGCCACCGTGTGGCAAATGTAAGAAAACATTAACTTTATACAAAATGTCATATTTGCAGCAGGAGGTGCATATATGGGAAGCTGAACAGTCCTATCAGGCTGTAGATTTTTGCCTAGACAAAACTCAGTGTTAGGCGTGTGTGTTTACTGTCGAACCAGAATGAAAACTCTGTGTTAGAAAACATGAAGGAGGTCAGCAGTTCAACCATTACAACTCAAAACTGGTTGTTAATGTTTGTCAGCCCCTCCAGACAGCATGAACAACAAATCCCAGTGTATGGTACTAACAAACAAACCATGGGAAATTGAAATTATAAATATTTTACAGTAATTTACCTGTCCTGCAGTGTCATAAAGTCCCAGCAAGTGTTGTTGTCCTCCCACAGTCACAGTTACTGGAAAAGAGAAACAAGAGATGTTGTTTATGTAGAAGCCAGTGGCCTCATTTCTGTGTGTTTTAATCCTAAAATGCCAGTAGACTCTTGTGCTAGACACATTAGCATGTGTCTCCCAATGTGCATCCTAAACCAGGCACACCTATCCAACCCAAGTCGAAGGCAATCTACAGTCACGAAAAAGCAATTCATTAATGTCAAGATTTCAAGAGGGATGAGCTGCACAAGCCCCTGCTGTCAGGGACCCAGAGACCAGAGGACACTTGTTTCTGACTCTGAAGCCATCATGAGGTGCTACGACTTGTAAGCACAGAATTCCTGCCTCCCCACCATGAGTACTGGGGTAGATTTGTCATGGATCATTGAGAGAGGTTCTTTATTCTTATATTTATTCTAGGCTGTGAAATGGTGAAGAGGCAGTGCTTGGTGTTTGGTGGGTCTTAGTGGAGATGTGCTGCCTTTTTGGGCAACCTGTCCTGTCCTGGGTTATGAAATTGCAGGTCAAGTGGGAGAGCTTAATATGTGGGACTCCGTGGTGGATGCTTCAAAGGACAGGGAGGAAGAGAAGCACTAGTATTTGTAGGGATTTTGAAAAGATTCTGTTGCAAATTAAGGGAAGCATGGCTTAGTTTATTGATCACACCTGGCACATTTACTCCTCCAGTAGGAGTCACTTTGAGCTTCATTTTGAGCCCATAGACATTGGTGAAAATGTTGTCTCAATGCTTTGGGATGAACCCTGTCATTAGCTGATCTCAATAATTAGTGTTATTTTGCATAAAGGATATGATCTGTGTTAATGACATTTAGTTAAGCAGTTAATCTGCTTAAATCATTACTATTCAACTGGAAAGAAAGGGAGGGGGGAATCCAATTCCACCCATTAGTCAATAGGAAGACTTCAAACATCTATTAGGAAGGTTGCTCAAAATAAAGGTAATCGTGCACCTTATGGACTATTACTTTTTTAAGCATGAGGGCAAATGGCTGGAAAGAACATCGAGCTACGGCTGGGATGAGGGGGCTAAGACTGATGCCTACCTGCTAACCACAGCTTGCAATCCATGAGGGTTGGGAAAGATTAATAGCTACTTTTGTTAAAAAGGAGGCTTTAAAACATCACACCAGTTCTTGCTGATTTTTTTTTTTCAAGTGATAAGAATTTTGTATGAGCAAAGCACCTACCCAGCTTATAGAAGTTAAGAGCTCCTGCACTGGGGGACAATGTCTTATTTGAAATCTCTTAAAAGTCTCTGTCAGTGTGGCTGGACAGGTTGATTATTCAGCAGCTTTAACTTGCTTACAAAGCGACACAGTAATTTTGCTAGCATATAAACAGAACAAAACTGACACCCTGAAAATACAAAGGCTCAGCAAGGACCAGACTTGCTGATGAGAGCAGGACAAGTTGTGCTCACCTACTGCTAGGGCTGCCTTGTGATGTGCAGGGGAAAGAGGAGATGGGAAAGGGCTTGAGAACCCTCCTCACCCTCCTCCGTTCAGGAGGTAGGCCCTACACAGTGCAATTCCCAGGGGAACTCAAAACAGGGCTAGTTGTTTGAACATGAATGTCCATGGGTGGAAGAGCCCAGGGAAGAGGTACTAGGGCGGGGAGATGGGTACCAATGCAGACAGAAGACAGTCCAGATGCCCCATCTCCTTTCTTCAACCTGGTTTGAATAAAATAATTTGAACTATATCTAGCCAGAGCCCTGGTTTTCAACTTTTAGTGATGTAAGGAGTCTCAAAATGTCCTGATAAAGGTAGGAACTGTCCTAGTCTACTGACAATACACGTGCTTTGCTTAGCTCCTGCCCCGGTTTGAGAGCACCAGGATAAAAGTTCTCTGGGGCTCCTGTCACTGGCGGCAATCCTAGTGGGGGCGAGGAGGGGCAGCTGTGCCTATGGGTCAGATAGGACGGGGCAGGTGACCCAGATGGACCCATCAGTGTTCCTTCCCATGGTGCTCAGTATATAAGGAGAGCCCTGGGGTCTTTAGTGCCTGCTCAGCCTGAAGTCTTGTTGTCTGCTTTTTGTTATCTTTCTCAGTGCTGCTGATATTCCTGCCTCTTGTTTTCATGCTACATAGGAGCACAGTTTGATGGGACAGATTGCCTTGCTCTGTCTCTCTAGGTAGGTGTGGCACAGCTCCTTTTCTGTGGGGTGTAGATTTTTTTTTTTGTTTATTTGTTTTGTTTTGCTTTGGTTTTTTACTGTCATTGGGACTCTGTGCTTGGACACTTCTATCTGCTGCTGAGTCCAGTCTGGGACTTTTCTGTTTGGGACTTTGTTGTCATCCAGAGGGTGTGGGTTCTGTATGAGTGTATTTTTATGATATCTTTGAATATATTTACATACTTATATAATATCTGTATGTAATTAAGCATTTTCATTGTTATTGTTAGCATTATTTTTCTTTTTTGTTAAATGGGTTCAAGATAATTTTTTTATTTTTAACCTCCAAGACTCTCTCCCTGGTTTCCCCTATTATCCTTCCCTGGGAGGCTGGTAGTGGGCATTACACAGTGTCTGTCGAAGTTTAGTGGCTGGCCCAGCCTTAAACTTCAACATCTCCTTTCTCAGAAGCAATGAGGCCACAGGTGGTCCTGCACAGCTTACCAGAGGCAGCTGGGAGGTGTCTATTTTTTTCCTAGTTGCAGCCTTGGCCAGCCTTCAGTCTGCCCCTGGGACAAGAAGTGCAGGAATCGGATGTGTTCTGCTGATTTTACTCTGCTCAAGGACCAACTGTGGGAGAATGTACCCTTCAGCTGAAGGAAATTTTTCAGCTGAACACAATTTTCCAGCTGTGGCGTATTAGCCATGCTCAGCTGGCTGAAGTAGCGTTTAGGACTCCATGTGAATGTTAGTGACACTGTCAATCCTTGGTTGAATTTGTATGGAGTCTGCAGAGCCCCTCTGAAGTGGGATACTTGGGACAGCTGTGTGGCTGTGGGGTGCATGGAGGTGTGGGTGATCTAACTGGTCTGATAAATACGAAGAGACATTTGCCACACATATGTGCTGAGAAAGTTATCCAGCGCTACCTCTCATGCTGACAAACTGGGCTGAGTCCTGCTCACAAAGATCGGCTCAGGTCTTTAGCATTTTAAAAAATTAAGTCACACTGAAATTGACTCTGTCCAGGCTTTGGGTTGCTGTGAAGACTTACTGGCCCATCTCTTGGTTGTATCTCACTGACAGCTACACTGGCAAAAAACTCTGGTGTAGGTACAGTTTCCTATCTTGCTCCAGTAGTTAATATTGTTTGGAGATAAGCTCTTTGGATAGAGATCTGGTCTGTCTCTGGTGTGCTTTGCTTTGCCAGAAGGATAAGCTGCAGCAAGTCCAAAATTATTATCTGTGGTCCATGAAATCATGGTGGAATTTTGCAAGAGGTTTGTGGAGCCACACACTGAACAGTTAGTGACAGCTTGGGCAGGTAAGTTTGGCTCTTGGTGAAAGCTGAGGAAAAGCTGAGGTGGAATAAAGAGGCTGATGGTGTCCTAGCATTGACCTCACATACACCTGGACTAAGAAATACAAGGGTTTTGGGAAAATAACGCACCAAGTCTATCCGGCTTTCACATCACATTTTAATTCTCTTTATAGCATCCTGTCTCTTATGAGTCCTACTGTGAATTTCTGTGTGGTACCAGTAATAACTTCTTTCTTTCTCTCTCATTTTTTTTTCCCTTTACTTTCCCCTTTTCTTTTCCTCAGCAGTGTATTTTCTTTCTTGTTAGTTGTTCTAATATGTCTATATCAGAAGATATCCTTCTTGTCTACGTTGCTTCTCTAATTTTACAGCTACCACCCCAGCAAAACTGTCTTGTTGGCTAAACTTCATCAACAGGCAAGCTGTTGTCCTTGGATTCCTGGCTCTGAATGCAGTGGGGACCAAATGGCTTGCACTGACGTTTCAAATAATCACTGGCTCTTGAAACAGCAATATCTAAGTTAATGTACTGGTGCTGAAGTTTCCACCACACTTTCATGCAGGCAAAAGAGATGTCAAAATAAATGGCTTTTGTCTGTGAAAACATTGTGGAATCTTTATACTAGTTTATCAGTTTGCTTCCATCAGGAAAAAGATGGTTCAGTGTGCCCACTTGGTAGGTCGTATTTATGAGCTGAGATTGCTCTGCTAGATTTGTAGGCCTTACTTTTTCAGTAGGCTTTATTTCAGTTTTCTTTTACTTACCTTGTTGATATCTTTTCCCGTTCTTACAGTGGCCAAGCCTATGGGAAGCCAATGCAGAATTCCTTCCCCGTCAGTGGGGTAATGCAGCCTCTTTTACAGGCTTGTGAACTTGGCTTTATGAGCAGTCTTGGAGTAACAAGATAAATATGAACTCTCCTTGCTGTTTACTGGCTATATTGATATATTGATTACGCACTGAAACAGCATGTACACCAAGTGCAGTGGGGACTGAAGTTAAATGTGGCTGGATACTTGCTCAGTCCTGGTTCTCATTTGGCTCCGGTCCATGTTGCATCAGACGATGCTTCAGGACAGATATTTTCCTCCCTTCATTGGGTGATTCTAACCAAGTGCAGCATGTGTAAAACATTGCTTTTAAAATGTTGGTTAAATCATAAATTAGCTGGGTATTGCTTGCTAGAGCTTGAGTAACTATTTTTGGGTCACTTCCAGGGCTTTGTTGCAGGTCTGTGTGTCTGGGGTTTTGCTAATGCGCTTCAGTGCAGAATTCTGAAACATGCTGCCCTGTTTGAAGGCCACTGTGGAAAGGCAAGGTGTGAGATGCAGTCATTACGGGGGCTGGATCTGGTATGTGGACCATGAACTGATCTGAGCTGGGAGCTCTGGTTTTAAATAAGTGGTTAGTTTGTGTTCCTGGAGATGATATGACAATTTTTGTTGATGTTCTTGTTGTCCGTGTTGCTCCAGGTCCATCTATCAATGGTCAGTTTTTAGCTAACTCCTCCCCTATTGTGTTTTAGTTACATGGTGTCTTCCCCATGAGAGTGGTGAGACAGTG